ACTAATGATTGAAGGATGCGTATGTCTGTTATGTTTGTCTGTTATTTGTGGTTATTAAAACGATTTATTTTGTTATGTATGTTTGTTAGGTAGACTGGGTGCCAGAAAAAAATTGAAAATAATATTCTTCAAAAGGGTTTCCTAAGCACGAGGAGTTACAGAAACGAAACAAAAACTTCCCACTCGGTGCCAATGGCAGTCAGATAATATATAGACTGTTTCATGTCTAAATGCGTCCACACTGCTGCGATTTGGTAAATCAGTTATCGATTTCGTCCTCAGACAGGTCATTACATGATCTCACAAGTGGGCTAAGTATCGTTGCTGCCCTGCTGTAAGAAATAGTCGCAACGACCCTGCAAAATTAATCCGTTCTTAATCAGGAAAGGATTTCTGTAATCTATTGGGTCTGTTTAGTTACTGAGGTAGTCGTGTTTAGTGGTGCAATGGTTGGAGTTCCTATCTAGCTTAACTTGGAACCAGAGTTCTCCAGCTTATTAAACTATAAATAACGTAAATATGTGCTTCAGAATTTATATGAATGGTTGCATCCATCTACAGATCCATCCATCCATTCTTCCATCCATCCATCCTTCCATCCATCCATTCATTCATCAATTCATCAATCCAGCCACCCATCCATCCATTCAGCCAAACATCCATCCATCTATCCACCCATCCATACATCCTACCAGACTTCCATCCATCCATCCATCCATTCAGCCAGCCATCCATTTACTCACATACCCATCCATACAATCTGATACACCATATATCTATCTAATCTATCTATCTATCTATCTATCTATCTATCTATCTATCTATCTATCTATCTATCTATCTATCTATCTATCTATCTATCTATCTATCTATCTATCTATCTATCTATCTATCTATCTATCTATCTATCTATCTATCTATCTATCTATCTATCTATCTATCTATCTATCTATCTATCTATCTATCTATCTATCTATCTATCTATCTATCTATCTATCTATCTATCTATCTATCTATCTATCTATCTATCTATCTATCTATCTATCTATCTATCTATCTATCTATCTATCTATCTATCTATCTATCTATCTATCTATCTATCTATCTATCTATCTATCTATCTATCTATCTATCTATCTATCTATCTATCTATCTATCTATCTATCTATCTATCTATCTATCTATCTATCTATCTATCTATCTATCTATCTATCTATATATCTATCTATCTATCTGCCTGCCTGCCTGCCTGCCTGCCTGTCTGTCTGTCTGTCTGTCTGTCTGTCTGTCTGTCTGTCTGTCTGTCTGTCTGTCTGTCTGTCTGTCTGTCTGTCTGTCTGTCTGTCTGTCTGTCTGTCTGTCTGTCTGTTCTCCGTGTCCGTCTGTCTGTCTGTTCTCCATGTCTGTCTGTCTGTCTGTCTGTCTGTCTGTCTGTCTGTCTGTCTGTCTGTCTGTCTGTCTGTCTGTCTGTCTGTCTGTCTGTCTGTCTGTCTGTCTGTCTGTCTGTCTGTCTGTCTGTCTGTCTGTCTGTCTGTCTGTCTGTCTGTTCTCCATGTCTGTCTGTCCCATGATGTTGCATACAATTCTCAGACAGGATAACGTTAAGTATAGGCTATAGTAGGATAAAGCAATCCCATTCTAAAACAGACAGAAGTTAAGGCATCCTAAAGCAAACAGTTTTTTGGTGTCACTTCAGGGTCAAACCGGACACAGAAGCATAACAATAATAATTAATATTGTGCGGTGAATGGCCAAAAAAAGTATGTAGCACAAATAATATAAACTGTATAAAAAATGCTTAAAAAGAGAACGTCGGTGTATGCTGTATCATTATATGTCAGCTAGCCACAGAAGCATCACACACACATATCAGAGACCAGGTCACCTATTGGCTCGTCGGTAGACGACTTCGTCGGGGCAGTGTTTGGGTCTGTCTGCTTTGTTCGCATCCACACTGCAGGAGTCCTTTTCAGGGCTCTTGGTAGCGTGCCATACTAAGTCATTTTATACGGCCCACATAACCTAGTCACAATTATAACCCAGAGCTCTCCCTTCGGGGATGCTAGTTGAGCGTGATGATTTTTTCCAGAGAAGCAGCAGACGCCTAGCAAGCCTGGAGTTCCGAAAAAGTGGAAGGGGTGCTCTCAGTCACTTCTGAAGTTTTCGGGGGTGGGTTACGGGGTCACGGGACCTTAGTATTGTCTCAGGGGTTAAAAATAATAATAATCTTTTTCTTCTTTAGCATTCCGAGCCCTTGAGGTTAATTGCTGCAGATATCACCCGCCTCCATTCATCTCTCTGGTTGGCCTTCTCTTTCCAGTTGGTGACACTAAGAGTTTGCAGGTCTGTCTAGATATTATTTCTTCTTGGTCTGCCTCGTGGTATACGACCATTCATCTCCCTGGTGTGTACAGTTTTTACTTCTATCATCTGAAATTCTTTCAGTATGCCCCAGCCATTTCAGTCTTTTAGCTCTCATGATGCCAGTGATCAGTGATGATTTAAACAGACTATGAATTTCGTTGTTGCTTCTCACTCTCCATTCCCCGCTGTTTGCATCTTTGAATGGTCCAAAGATTCGTAGTAAGATTCTGTTTTTTCGAAAACCTGTAATAAGGCGTCATCTCTTTTAATAATAATAATAATAATAATAATAATAATAATAATAATAATAATAATAATAATAATAATAAGGTGCTTTCTTTTTAGCAGACCACAAATGACACCACGGGACAGTCCAGTATTTTATAGGGTGGTAAGATCAGGTTTTGTGTCTTTTCTAGGCTTTAGCGGGTTTCTTCCAAGGCCAAGGTTTTCGCACGTTTACCTAACCATAACCATAACCCTAACCCTAACCCTAACCCTAACCCTAACCCAACCCAAACTATACGCCTAATCTACCACACTCTGAAATATTTGACTGTCCCGTCACCTGCGGATTTCCCATGTGTGTGGTCGTCTTATAAGAAAGTACCAATAACAATAATCATTATAGTGGGAAATGACAAATACATATGATATGTTGAACAAATATGATATGTGTAAACAACAAGCTAAAAATATAACCATATCTGTTTGTTGGTAGGACAACAGCTTAACAACCTAACAGTTTTTATTAAGGGTAGGGGAGTGGCAGGGGGCACTCAATGTGTTTAAGCTGTCTCTTTGTTTACTGTCTTTAACTCTTTGAGTCCCAGAGGGTTTCGCATCAGAGGCCCAATGGGTATTTAAGGGAGACCTAAAATCAGCGCATCACGCGTTCATCGAACTTCTAGGCAGGAACCTATGAACGTATGATGCGTTCCTTGGGACTCAAAGAGTTAAGCATCTGAATTTGCAGTAGCTGAATTAGTTTAATTCTCTTTCTAGATAAAGGTTCAGAATTTTATGCAGTCAAGAAACGGAAATGGCAGACTAGAAAACAAAAAGGTCTAAAGAATTAAAAGTTGAGGCTGGTAAGAACAAGGTTGAGGTGGCTCATTTCTAGATCATTTTCAAATACAGAGAAGGACATGGCTGAGGAACCAACAGCTGCACAGGCATGTAGACCTGCCATGTCTGGTCGTGAGCGGTCAGTCCTGGGCGAATCTGATCACGTGATGAAAAAGTACAACAAATCAGACGACGAACTTTTGCAGGAATTTCTCAAACGGAAGTCGTTAGACGAACCAGACAAAAACGACCTGACTCCTTTGATTTGCTGCGCTCTCCAGGGAAGGCTAAAGCTGCTGGAGACACTTCTGGAGAAGGGGGCAGATGTAAATCTGGCAAATGGATCAGGCACGACTGCTCTTATTGCAGCGTCGGCTTCAGAGCAGGTGGAGATTATGAAGTTCCTAGTTGAGCATAAAGTGGACGTGAATGCTGTTGATGCTCGTGGTAACAGCGCGTTGATGATAGGGATTCTGACAGGTAACAAGGAGGTGGTCAGAGTTCTGTTGGACAGCGGGGCGGACGTCCACATTCGGAATGTGAGTGGACAGACGACGCTAATGCTAGCTGCTTATAAAGGTTCTACAGAGGTCGTGGAAGAGCTCATACAAAAGGGGACACAAGTCAGTGCTAAAGATCATAAAGGGTGGACGCCCTTAATGTTCTGCGCTCAGTACAACGAGTACCATGCTGTAGAAATTTTGATTAAAAACAAAGCGGATGTTAATGACACAGACCTCACAGGTGCCTCGGCCTTGCACATCAGTTCGGGCAACGGGCAAACAGAAACTGTGAACCTTCTGATAAAATCCGGGGCGATGGTTGATCTTTTGGACAAACGAGGAAGCACGGCATTAATGCAGTCATGCGCCGGTGGCCACATCTCCTGTGTCCAGAAGATCATTGGAGCGAATGCATCGCTGAATGTCCGGGATTGTTCAGGGGCTACAGCTCTTCATTTAGCTTCAGCGGAAGGATACAAAGACGTGGTGTTGGCTCTCATTGAAGCCAAAGCAAATTTGAATATTGTTGACGATGAAGGCGATACGCCTTTGACGTGCGCTGTTATGAATGGACATGTTGAGTTGGTGAAGATTCTTTTGAATTCCGGAGCGGATGATCTGATCGTAAACTACAAGCGTAAGTCGGCTCTCACTATCGCCGTTGATCTAGACCTGAATGATATAGTGAAGATGCTACTGCAGCACCGACAACCAAGCCAGTCGTATCCACTGATTAACTTCAAAGGTGAAAGTGGAGAAACTGTTTTAGAACATGCAGCCAGGCGGGGAAACGTAGAGAACGTGAGCATGTTGATTGAATCTGGGGCACAAGTAAACGCCGATAGGGCTGTGGGAAACACACCTTTGATTGACGGTGTGGTCAGCGGAAGTTTGGATGTTGTTAAGATTCTCATCAAAGCTGGAGCCAACATTAATGCAGCCGACGGAAACGGAAGCACTTCCCTGATAATAGCCTCGATCCGCGGCTCTTTGCCGATTGTCCAGCTCCTACTGGACAATGGCGCCAAGGTCAATGACTCGGACGACAAGGGAAGGACATCCGTGATGTGTTGTGCTTACTCCGGGCATGTAGACGTTGTGGAGTTGCTACATCAACACGGGGCGTCTCTTGACAACACTGACGTCGAGGGTTGGACAGCCTTGCTCATCGCCGCACAGAATGGTACGTGGGACATTGTTAATTTTCTTGTGGAGAAAACATCCGGTTTAGACCATGCGATGAACTACGGCAGAACAGCTCTTGCTTTCGCAGCAGAACATGGGTATGTCAACATTGTGGAGACACTTCTGAAACATGGAGCTGTCCCAGACAAGGGAGATGTCGATGGCGACACGGCTTTGATTATAAGCGCACTGAAAGGTCACGTGAAAGTGGTGCAGACTTTAGTGAAGAACAAGGCATTCATTGATAAAGCCAACAGGGAAGGGCAGACAGCTCTATATGTAAGTTCTCACGAAGGCAGCTTGAAAATTGTCCAAATTCTTGTCAACGCTGGAGCTAGTGTTAACCTTCCCGACAAAAAAGGGTTCACCCCTTTAATGGTGGCCGCAGCAAACTCCCATACATCAGTAGTTCAAGTTCTGATCAAAGCTGGTGCAGATGTTAACATCCAGGATAGAAAAGGACGCACCGCACTCATGATGGCCTCAAGCAAAGGTGCTACAAAAGTGGTGTCATTGCTTCTAGAAGCAGGAGCTAACCCTAACATAGCCTGCTCCGAGGGATGGACAGCTCTGATGTACAGTTGCCAGAATGGTCAGTCTGAATGTATCAAGGTTCTGCTTGACCGTAAGGCTGAGATCAATTCCTGCGACAACGAAGGAAACACAGCCTTGTGTATTTCTGCAGCCCACGGCTTCTATAAAGACATCTGTCTGCTCATCGCTCATGGCGCCAACGCCGCTGTGCAAAACAAATCAGGAAGGACTCCTTTGATTCTCAGCACTTACAACGGTTTCCTCAAAATCGTCAAGCACTTGATCGAGAAATCGTCTGCTAAAGAGACTTTAGACCTAGTCGATGAAGACAAGGGTGACACCGCTTTGATTATCGCCGCCAGGAAAGGACACAAAGAAACCGTCGACGTATTACTGAAACATGGCGCCAAAGTTAACGCAGCCAATAGAAAACTAAGAACTGCTTTGAGTGTTAGCGCCAAAAATGGAAATGAAGACATTGTTACAGCTCTGATCGCTCATGGAGCAGACGTTAATACTGGAGATGTCGACGGAGATACGCCTTTACTTCTGAGCGCTCCCCGCGGGGATACGTCTGTTCTCGAGGCCCTGCTGCAAGCCGGGGCTGATGTAAATAAACAGAACAATAAAGGAGAAACAGCACTTATCCGTGCTGCCAAACACGGATGTCGCTTATCTGTGCAACTGTTGTTGAACAAAGGTTAG